TAACCATTTCTCTGTCACACATCTTATAAATGTACTTTCTTTGCCATTTTCCTCTATCTTTTACTCATGGGATTTTATTTTTAACATAGAGAACTTTTAAAATATTTTTCTTGTCAAAAGAAAATGAATGAATGCAATATGTAATTATCAGTGTTTCTTCACTGCTTGGAGTAATAATAATATGAAATTTAGGGCCTAAAACTGTACAAAATATTTACGATATGTGAAAAAGATAAATAAGAAAGTGGAGAAATGGAGATAAAATGTTCTAAGTCCATTGTATTATCTTGGGAATGGGTAAAATAATAAACAAATGTTTGTGTCTGAGAAATCAATGATGCAACTGTAACCATTGAGAGGCACCTTTTCTTGTGTTTTATTTGTGTGATATATTTTACAAAAATGGTCAAAAACTTCCAAAATGACATAAAGGAAAATCTAGATAAATGGAAACACATGCTGTCTTCATTGACAGTACTACTCAATATAGTAAAGGTTTCTATTCTCCCCAAACGTGTCTCTAAATTCAAGGATATTGCACTCAGATCACCAGCTAAATTGTTCAAAGAAATTGTCGTTTAGAATACAGATCCATTCTTAATTTCCATGAAAGAATAATTTAGAGAGAGCGCATTAGCTGTTTAGACATCCTGCAGAATTATTATTAAAAAATAATGAAATATTAGCAAAAACTACGATACTGGTGGAAGAGTCAACAAACAGAGCAATGGAACATAGAACAAGTTCAGAATAGAGCCACATTATCTGTAGGACCCTGAGTAGTGACAAGGGTGACATCAGGAAGCAAAAGATTAGATTGATTAGTAGATGACATTTGGAAAAACCATCCACTATTTGAAGAAAAGCAAAGCTGTATTCCTATCACCCTTCATATGCAAAACATAATTTCAAGTAGAGTACAAACCTAAAAGTTAAAGTACATTGACAACAAAATGTAGAGGGGAAAACCTTTGTGTTTAAATATCAGAGAAAGAAATCTTAAACCAGTTCTCCAGGTACAAAGAATGAGAGAGTAATTAAGCATCTCAGCTTAGTAGGTGAGATGCTTGAATTGAAAGATACCACAGAGTTAATCTAGAGATGGCAATCTACAAAAGCTTTTCACATTTAAAATCAATTAAAAAGTAATCTTGAAATTTATCAAAAGATAGGACAACAATTAAAACTTCAAAAAATATATATGTAGGTAATTCACACACAGAGAAGACTGAATTGCCTGGAAGTGAATTAAATAATCTTTAAATAAAGTAGTAATTAGATAAATTCTAACTTTAAAAAGATGTGATGTCACTTTGTACTGATAATAACAAAACATTAGAAAGTTGAATAAAATTAAGTGTTGAATAAGAAATGCTAATAGGAATATAAACTATATACACAATTCTTGAAAGCTGTCTGCCAATATTTGTGAATTAAGTATTAGTAAATTTTATGACCAAGCAATGCCATCCATGTTTATACAACCCAGGCTATTTGGGTTCCCTATAAATATTCCTATAAAAGAGTGCATGGAAAGATGTTCATTTTATTGATGTTCACATTGGTGAAAATGGGAGGCAATTTCACTGTTCGTCACAAAAGGAATGGCTAAGTGAAATGTAATAAATGGATGTTGTTTTCGCAGCTGTGAGAAACAATCAGGGGTTTCCATGTAATAAATTGAGTGAGAAAAGGAAACAAAAATGAGATTTTATAGGAAAATACAATTTGTGTAAATTAAAATGCATAAAATCATCATGTATTTTACAAGAGTACGTGAACAGTTTTTAAGTACATAAAAAGGGATAATGTAAAAATGAAGGATAGAGGGGAAAATATAAAATAAAACATTTTCGGAGTGGTGTTGAAAATCTGCTACAAAGTAAAGAGTATAATGAACTCAACTCTGTGCTTGAATTTCAAAATCAGCATCATCATCATCATCAAGACAGAAAGGTAGTAGTAATCTAAACAATCTTTCTGTTTGGATATGAGAGTACAAAATAGACACCCCTCCTGTTGGTCCAGCATCTGAACAAGTTGAAAAATATATCAAACTTATGCAGAGGAAAAATTGTTAGTCCACACAGTGGTCAAGCCTGCTCTACTTCTTTCGTTGATTCCATAAGCCTTTAAATACTGCTTTTTCATTTGCCAGTTCTAATTGGGTTTATCTTGCTTATTACCTTATGGTCTTTGGCACAACCGCCTACTGTATGCCAGGTGTGTCAGTTGTCGTTGGATTGCCTCTCAAATCCAAATGCACTCAATTGCCTATTCTATTGTGATAGAGGCAGACCCTGTTAAAAGTTCTCCTTTTCCAGTTGGCACAATGTTAAGCTTTGTCAGTAGGGTGTGCTAGAGAGGCACTGGAGGAGGAAAAGGATTGTCTTCCCAGTTCTGGTGTGATCTAGGATCCTGCAATAATCTCTGTCTCTCCAGCACCAGACCATGGCAACGTGCTCAGCTTCTGCACTGCCAGGTTCTAGTAGCACACGTGGCTTTGCAGCAGAGTGCTGCCAGTGCGGCACCTCTGTGAATGGCTCCTTCTGACATCCTCTCGGGTGCCTGTGTAGTAGAGAGCTGTTCCTTTGGAATTTCCCCATGACTCACTTCTCCTGTCACATCCTCAGGCAGTTTCATAGATCTGAGGTGAAGTTCCTTCACATGGGTGGCTTCCCCTGACATCCCAGGGAGCAGATTCTCAATAAATGCTGCTGACATGGCACCTCCCAGTGGATGACTTCTCATGCAACTCCCTTTGGGGAGTTTTGCAGCTTCAAAAATTGTTCAGCCTTCCATCAAATCTTTGGCATGCTGCCTCTCAAGTGGTTTAGACGTCAGTCCCAAGAAAAAGACCTTTCTCTCAGATTATTCCTTAATTGATTGTTTTATTCCAGCACTAAGAGAAGTGACTGCTCTCTACATCTTCTACTCGTGTATTTTCAGTCCTCTTTACTCCTTATGGACTAATCTTCCATTTCTTCCATCTCTGGTTACAGTTAATTTATGTGTATAAAGATAAGTTTATCTTTACAAATTTCTGTGTGACTTCAGTCTTTTAACTGGATCCTAACTGATACACTCAGCTGAGTTTTTCCAATAATCCACAAATAACACAGATTCCTGTATATAAGAGGTTAGGGTACATGGATGGTAGTGGCCAAAGATCGTATTTCTGACTAAAGTTTTTTCTTTAATTAGACAACTCTTTCAGGCATCATCATCAATATTAATGACACCACTTCCACCTTTATTATTCATAATAATTATAACAAAAACACTATTTAGATTACATTTGCTGAGCATGCGTCAGGCATTGTGAAGTACCATATGTTGCAATAAACTTTTTTGTACTCTTTAACTCTTTTAGTCTTTACAGTCACACCGCAAGAAAGCTGTATATCTTTGGGTACTTTACAGGCAAGAAAAACAAGGTGGAGGAAACATAAGTGATTTTCACAAGGTCGGAGCTAATAAGTGGTAAGTTTGTTTTCAATCCAGGGCCTGATTTCAAAGCGTATGTTCTAACGTGCTATATTATCCCATCTCACTTGTAAATCCTTAGAACAAGCATCTCATGCGTAATGGCTGAATTGTATTTCCCTGTTTATGGATTTTTAATTTTAAATATGTCCTCCACAGTGTTCAAAAATGCTCATATTCTATTCTATTCTATTCTATTCTGTTCTGTTCTGTTCTGTTCTATTCTATTCTATTCTATTCTATCCTATCCTTTCCAATCCTATTCTATCTGATTCCCTTGCAGGTAGTTTTGCTTCAATTGCCTTTCCTACCTACTTGGAATTCTCAGAATACCAAACACATTATTCATCAGCAGTTTGGCAGATGCTATTTCCCTTTCTGTTTTGCATTTTTCTTTTTCCTTCTCTTTCTGACAAGTATATGCTTATCTTTATCATTCGTTTCATATGGAAGGCTTCACCCTCTGAACTCATAGAGCCTTATAGTGGCTTGTTAGATACATTACTTTCAGATCTTCCTAACTAGATTCAGAATTGGGGTGCAGGAGGAGACAAGCACCGCTTGAAATTCATATCGTATTTTCAGAATCTAGAATCCACTCAAGTGGCTGTTGAATGAGAAAGTGAAATTAGGATGTGTTGCTCATGGTAACACTATGCTAGTGACTACAAAGGCAGAGAATCCAGCAGAGGCAGGATAAGGAAGAGAGCAGATTTCCAATCACTTTCTGAATGTGAATGCTAAAGCCTCCTGAGGAGAATGGGCTCTCATTTGTTGTAAGCCCATGAAACAATTATAAAACAGCAGTGAATATCAAGCCACAGAAAACCCTTTTCTACATTCCCCTCAGTCCTATACTTATCACAATATTAGCAGCCCCTTCCTTCCGGTGCGGACTGTGAAAGGCTCAAGGAAGAGGCAGCAAGACTACCTCCCCTTGCTTTTCCTCCTTCAAGCAGATCTCTATAAGGTAACAGGGAACTAGGGTATCAGTGATGGCATTAGGGCAATGGGGACAGTAAAACATGTAAAGGAAATCTTGGAGAAGCAGGGGTGCCTTTAGGCAGAAGAACTTAGTCGGCTTAGTGCTATGAGGGCAACCGAAGAGAGAGAAGACATTTATAGGGCAAGCTATTTAAAATAAATAAAAGCATAGCAAAAATCTAACCCCCAAATCAAGCCTGAATTTGAATCCTTTTTGGAGGGAAAATAAAAATAGGCACCAGTGTCTGTTTCCTACATATGTTAACTATTTACAACCTCTTTTTTTATCGAGTCCGAGATATATAGTTGGTCTGACGTAGCTACTCATTTCTTTATGACTTAAATGCTTTACCCTCCCATGTGCCCATCTGAGTGAGAGACGCAGAAATAATTGAATACACCAGTGCAATGAAAATACATGTTGTTTATTAGGCAGAAGCCAGGATCTCAAAGCCTTTCATAACATCCCCACGTTTAATTGTTGGACTTTGGGCACAAAGAGGCCTTTCTCGGAAAGCATGAAAGGGAGCTCAGTGGTATTTGTGGGCCAGTGCATTGGCCACACCAGCCACCACCTTTTGATAGGAAGCCTGCAACTCTGGGGTGAAATCCTTGCCAAAGTGGCGAGCCAGCACAACAACCAGCACGTTGCCCAGGAGCTGTGGGGAAGAGAAAAAAGAGGGGGCATGGTTAGCAGAGGGAAGCAGCTTGGGCTCAGAATATTCCAATCTTATCCAAAGCTGTGCCCTAGAATATAAGCAGGAAAATAGCTGAATCTTGGATGTTACTATTTATGTGAATCCGCTAATAACAACCTGAATTTATACTTAAAAATGTCTCTCCCTTTCTGCCTTAACCCAGAACTTGTTATGTTATTCTTTAGAACCATGAAAGGAAGCAATAATACATGTTATCCTTTTTGCTTTGAAAGAAAGAGTTAGAGACAAGGGAAAGAAAGTATTAGATGAATTTTTTTTTTAAAAAGAAAGTAGATTCAAAGAAGAAAGTTGTTTTTAATTAAACACTCAAAAAATTTAATTAAAAATACAATGAGAAGATATTGCAGAGACCAAAAAGAGGAAAACAAGAATGAACCAGCAGAAACAAGGGTTTTGAGCAAAGAAAATAAAAGAACTTAAATGTTCCTCCGGAGTCCGCAGTGATGCAACCACAACATCTCTTCACATTCTGAACTGCAGCCTGACTTTCATGTCCTCTCCTCATTACATGAGCTTGACCAAAAAGAGGAAGGCAAAGGAGAAATTGAGGGTCACAGAGACTCACCCTGAAGTTCTCAGGATCCACGTGCAGCTTGTCACAGTGCAGCTCACTCAGCGCAGCAAAGGTGCCCTTGAGGTTGTCAAGATGATGCACGCCCTCACCAAAGGAGTGTAGCACTTTCTTGCCGTGGGCCTTCACCTTGGGGTTGCCCATCACAGCACCAGGATTGGACAGATCCCCAAAGGAGTCAAAGAACCTCTGAGTCCATGGGTAGACAACCAGCAGCCTAAGAGGTTTTAAACAGCACAAGAGACAGAGGCAGTCAGTACCTGTCAGAAACCCAGGAGACGGTCGTATATTCACATACCCAGCTTCTACGACTCTCCTTAAGCTGCTTGTATCCTGGATACTAACCTGCCCAGGGCTTCACCACCAACTTCTTCCTCATTCACCTTGTCCCACAGGGCCAAGACAGCTGCCTTCTCTTCACCACTCAGTTGCACCATGGTGTCTGGTTGTGTGGTTGCTAGAGAACACGGTTGTGTCAGAAGCAAGTGTAAGCAGTAGCTGGCCCTGCTCTTCTTTTTATGCCCAACCCTGGTTTATGCCCTCCCTTCTCCTGTGAGCAGATTGGCCAAAGCCAGGGTGTGGTTCTCCAGGGTGAGGCCTGAGAGATGACAGCCATACCTGTCCTAGGCATTTCTAGCAGTGTCTTATAAGTCTGACTTCGGAACCTCAGCTCTCTCTCTAGGTGTCTCCAGATCCCATCCCAGCCGTAGAAATGCTATTATAATTGTCCTCCTCAGCAAATTTACTTGCACGTAGTTTTAGAATCACAGCCTGGTAAGCTTTGAGAGATTGCATCCTCAATTTTTGTATTACACAGATGAAGAATCTGAGGTCCAGCAAATGGAAAAGATTTACCTGCTGTGGTAAGTAACTTAGGAGTCTATGGATGGATCTCCTCCTGAGTCTTCAGAATATGCAAAATAGTTACAAAGACATCATGAATGAGACCTCCTCCCCTCTTCTAAGTATATCTTCCTTCTCTTGGTTTGGATTAAACCCTCCTGGTAAGAAAACAAATATTCATACATTTTTTCCTTAATTTAGTCATATGACCAAATAAATGATGACTGAAAAATAGAATAAATATCTATCAAGACTTGTCTGTGAAATAATTACTCTATTAGGTTTTGGGGAAAACAGAGTGATCTCTCAATGAAGTAAGAAATACCTATAGGTGAAAAGTAGTTACAACCCAAATTGTTAGGAATCCTAAAGAAAGCAATGTTTTCAAAGAGTAACCAGGGATGTGAAACTTACTTCTTCCTGGACTGATCTGGGAAAGTGTCTGGGAGAACAGAGAAGCTTCTCTGTGACTAAAAAGGAGAGATAGGAAAGTGGAAAAATATTCCAGTCTTGTCCCAGATTATTTTTTTTTCCTCCCAGGCTACTAAGAATGCTGTTTGTATAATCATTTCTTTGACTCAAATTCATCACTCATAATCTCATTTTCTCTCTATATTTTTGGTATTTTTGTTTATTTGTTTAAACCCTCCTGTATTAAAATTTACACTTCTATCTCTACGGTTTTTCCAACATTCCTCTTTATCCCCCTGTGTAATCAATTCTGTTAACTTCAGGTGTAGAGTTCTGCTCCTTGCCACTGAAATATGCAATGAAAAGAGCAAAAGCAGCAAGCATTTCAGAGTTCAGCATAGGATCTCAGATTTCCCTGAGGGCGCTAATAGTTATTTTCCCAACTTTCCGTCATCTCCACCTCCTGCATCATCCCCCTTCCTGAGTTCCCACTATGTTTCACTAGGGAAATGACCATGCATTTTCTACTTACCGTGTTTCTCCTACCCTAGAGTCTTCTCCTGACTCAAGCCCCCTGATGTCTAGAACCATCTTCCTCTCTCTCTTGCCATCACCGGCAACAAATACTTAACAGAAGTCTCTCATCCTGTCAGCAGTAAGAGTCTGAAACGTTAACCACAAAAACCTTTTTAGGTGAACCAGAAGAAAAGGACTTCTCTGTTTCTAAAGAAAATCATAAAATTCCCACTTCCACTGCTTCATTCTCCAAAACGCTTTCTCCATCATTGCTGGATAAATAAAAATTCCTCACCCTGTTTACTTGTAACAAGCCACGTGAAGTACTTGTGAAAAAACTTAGTCTAATTATTCTCAGACATGTAGGAAAGGCTTGGTTCTTTTCTGCCGCCTGGAGATTATATCAGAATTATATGCCCCTAAAAGATCACATGGGCAAAATAGACAGAATTTAAATATTTTCCATTTATATTCATTCTTCTTTAAAATCCTGAAGCAAAGAGGGTCTTACTATTGGTCTATCTCTGGGAAAAGATTTTTCAAGTTGGCTTCTAGGAAAAGAGGCCTTTCAAATGTTTTAAATGTTAAAAAAAAAAAAAAAAAGATTTCGCTTGACCTTTAGAGTCTGAGTTTCATTTTATTAAGTTTAAACCGCTATTAGCCTTATCATTATTTTACATTCCGACTGTTTTCAAGACCCCATTTCACACCCCTGATATCAGAGGGCAGGCATATGCATATAAAAGCAGGTCTACTGGGGAAGTTTGCACATGTCTTTTGCAGGAACTCTGTGTCATGGCAAATTCCCAGACCTTACTAAATGGTATAGAATACATTTATAATTTCCTGCAAAGAGTCAAATTGTCAGGGCTACATATGCCATTTTGATTGACAGAAATTAGCATCTACTTAAAGACTTGCTCTGCCATTTCTTGTGATCAGAAGTTGTTCCCCTGAAGTCCTCTGTTGAGTCTTGTTAAACCTCTTTTGCCATGAATGACCCAGGCACCAGTATTTTGTATTGGCAACTGCTGCAACTACCCTCATCCCGGCTTCACGACAGGAGCTGCTGTTCTCTCTTACTGTTGCTCCTTAGCATGACTGAAGAATGAAACAGACTTTTCCTTCTATTTCCCATGACCCCGCAAGGACAAAGCTGTAAGCTGTAATAAGACATGAAAAGCTCAGACATACCAGATAAAATAAGGAAGAATGAATAATGATAAATGTGGTCATGTTCAGAGCCTTAGGCTCAAACGCAGGTCAGCATTCAAAGGTTCTGGAAAGCTTCTTAGGCCCACTGCCATCTTCATCATTGTGAGGTTACTTCCACCCTGTGAAAGGTACCAGGATGTCTGTTCTGCTTTGATTCGAGCCCCTCTGAACATTCAACACACACACACACATACATACACACAACACCCTACAAGTCTGCAAGAGAGAGACAGAAGTTTTCTTTTTTCCTTTGTTCCAGTCTGTTTACTTTACCTAATTTCTAATGTTCTATACCAGGATGGGCCTGGTCTGAGTATAATTAAGAGGGTGAGCATTAATTTCCTTCAAGAGAGTCATGACATTCATCCAGAGGGGTGTGGTTTTGTCATTTGTTTCAAAAATTGCACTCAAATAGGACACCCTTGAACATGCTGTAGTGTTCAATGCTAAATTCCTTAAGTAGATCATTTCAACAATTTAATTTATATCTTCCTGTGTTGAGCTCAGTTATTTTTTCTTTTTTAGGAAATGCTGTTTTTTTTTTTTTTCCTGCTTTATCTCCCCAACCCCGCCCCCATACATAGTTGTATATCTTAGTTTCAGGTCCTTCTAGTTGTGGGATGTGGGACGCCACCTCAATGTGACCTGACGAGCCGTGCCACGTCCGCGCCCAGGATCCGAATCCTGGGCCACCACAGCAGAGCGTGCGAACTTAACCACTAGGCCATGGAGCCGGCCCCGAGCTCAGTTATTTTTTACTCTTCTCTCCCAGATGCACAATCTCTTGGTTCCTTCAGTTTAACATCCTTTCAAAATTAAAATATCATTAAATTGAATTAATAAAATTAAATAAAATAAACATGCTCCAGAAAGAGTAAAACTTATAGAGAAAAGTACATACACACAAAATAGTTTAACAATAGGATACTTACTCACTTTTAAAAAAGTCATATTTCTTTCTAAAAAGCAATGAAGTTAGTATAGCCATAACTTTGACAAGTATATTCTAACTCTTACAGAACAACTCCCACATTAATATTTCCTCCATTCAGCTCAGATTTTCACTCATAATTAGCTTTTGTGTACCTCACTAAGTGGGCCATGGTGCTGATTTATGGAGAGTAAAGCAGCAGTCTTTTCCAAGTTAAATTTGAAACCGTACATCTTTACAGGCAGAATCTTGGCTTCAGTTTAGACACCCTTTACAAATGTGTAAGGTATTAATTCGTAAAGCCAAATCTCCAGGGCACTGCTCTGAGGCTCCAGAGATGGATAATCTAGAATATCATGCTAAATTCCCTTGATATTAAATTAAATTAAATTATTTTAAAATGATTATGGAAGCTTACCCACAATTCTTTTGTTCATTTTATTTCTCTCTTCTTCTCTCTTCCCTTCCCCTTTCCTCTCCTCCCCTCTCTCTCTCTCTCTGCCTCCTTTCCCTTCCCATCTTTCTCTCTTTCACACACATACACCATCTTCATTCAAACGTACTGAACACAGTCTATAAAGCAACATGATAGGGAAGAAATTGAAATAACCATTGGGTAAATTATCAAGTAAAATTAAAATCAAGTCTTAAGGCATTAATTCCATTCCTAGACTTTTACAGAAGCTCTACTCTAACAAAGAATGAGAATATAACAACAAGCTGCCAAGTCTCTTTCCACCCCATGACCTCCTCACTCCCAGTGTGGAGACAGCAGTGCCTGGTATGCAGTAATTGTTTGGGCTTGATGCACGTCCCATCCAGGTGACGTTCTCTTGAGTTCTCCAGTATTGGGATTTTTAGGGCCAATTTCTTCTCTAGAATCACTGGCCAGCTCTAGAGGTGAAGGAACAAAAGAGAGTACATTGAGTCTTCATATATTTTTATTCTTCTCGTAACTATTTAGAAGGAAGAAGCTTAGTTTATTTCCCCCTTTCCAGTTTATGAAACCCACAATCTCTCTTACCCTCTTTCAAATTTTCTGAAAGTCTCTTCTTCTCCTATTATCTGATTCTTAGGAGGACTTTTCTGTAGTCAGGAGTGTAAATGTAATCTTCCTAAAATTTCTCTAAGGTGACTTTGCTTCTAAGTTGTGAGACTATGGTTCTTAAAGATCTTGTTCACATATAAAGACTTCTCAGTTCTTGGTACAATGACCTACAGAGAAAAAAAAATGAATATAAAAAAGCATCTGCCCTAAGGCAATTCAACACCTAGTGGTGAAACAGTAAACTCTAATGTGTTGTCTACACCCTGGTAGAACAGGCAAGTTATTATGGAAGTGCATGTATACAGAACAAAGTAGCAGGTCCTGCTTCAGGTAGTCAAGTAAGTCTAAAATTAATCAACAGGAACATGATATAGATTTAAAGAAATGCATACAAATTAGAAGGTTCTAGAAATCCTTCTAATTTTACTTATGACAAAAATAATTCTCAAAGATGTTTTACTACCTACCATCCGAAAGCAAATGATTGATCAGTGCTTTACTTTCCTGCATGATTCTTTGTTGTATATTGTAGCATTAACACCAAAGGAACTTTATGCAATCGACTATTGTTGAGACTGTCCTCTAGTCCCAGGAGTTCTAAGACAAGGAAGAATCACTCATTCATTCACTGACTATTTCATTTAATAAATATTTATTTACTGCCTATGGGAAAACTTTACAATGCTCAGTAGTCATGTAGGATAGTATAAAATAGGCAAAAATGTTTATACAGCATGAGTGTGACAGATAAAGAAATGTGAAAAATGGGTAGAGGAGGAGAGTTTGGAAAGATTTCATTGGGCAATATTGGCAATATTGGAAAGTTCTTTGAGGCCAAAGTCAAAAGAGGTCACAAGTGATATGGGAGCACTGAACTGTGCCTGAAATGGGAGAGGGTCAGCAATTAATTTGGGAGATGTTTTGGGGCAAGTGAGAAAGGGAGGTTATTTCTTAAAGCAGGAACACTTGATGGAGTGTAGTATTCCGGGCTACAATACGCAGGCCAGGGAAGCATGAAAAAGGAAACACAACAGTGTCTTGAGCAATCATAATATCTCTAATTAAGAACGCTATTTTTTGAGTAGTTGTTGGAAATGGATCAGAGAATTCACTCAAAAACTACATCCTAGTTTTGTGGTCTCCCATAGAGCCCCTGTAATACTGGTATCCTCTCTATATTTCCAACCTTCTTAACAATTCCTATGTTTTGGTGGTAGAAGTATTGTGACTGTGTGTCATCCCCTTCCTTTTCTCATTTCCCTTGACACCTTGGTATAAGACACAAAAACTTCCTATCTGTAGATCCTGAGGGACTTTCCCATACCCCCTGAGAAAAAAAAATAATAATTAATTAATGAATTAAATGAATCAGGAATTTGAGATGAAAGTTCTTTATTAGGCAGAAGCCATACCCTTGAGGGAGGGCATTATTTCCCTAAATCCAGAAAATACACTAGGGAAATAGGGTCTTCCTGTGGTCACCAGGAAGCAGATCAGGATCTCAGTGGTACTCGTGAGCCAGGGCATGGGCCCCACCAGACACTGCCTTCTGATAGGAAGCCTGCAACTCAGGGGTGAATTCCTTGCCAAAGTGGTAAGCCAGCACAACATCCAGCACGTTCCCCAGGAGCTGTGGGGGAGAGGTAGATAGACATATACACATGATTAACAGAGAAATCAAGCTTGGTTTCTGAGAAACTGAACCAAGGATCATTTTCTTCTGCCCACGCTCAGCCCAAACTGATCCTCAGACTGTCCCCAAGAGCATAAAGGAGTAAACATATATGTATGTATTCCATATAGATAGATAGATGATAGATCGATGGATAATTAGATATACACATAACATATTTATATATTATATATGCTAATTAATGGATTAATTAGTGTGAGGATGGGCTGTCTTTTAGCAACAACTGCTGCCCCATTTCCCTACTTTTGGTATTTCATCCACTTTCCTTTCCATTGAATCTTGACTCTATAATTTTCCAATTATCCTTCAATTTTGAAGTGACCTATAACCCTAGAACAACATCTTGTGGCTTTCTTCTTTGAGGAGCCTTTCCAATCCCCATATGGAGACACAGAAGGGTTTTTCCAAGCATAGAAGTAGCAGATGAGAGCTGGTATGCATACATTCGGTACTGAGTAAGGAAAAGGAAGTTAGGGGTAAAAAAGAGAGAGAGGTAAAAGAAAAGACGTTAAAGAAAGAGCTTGATAAAAACAAGGAAGGTTGTGAGAAGGGAAATGATATGGAATATTGAAAAAATATATAAAACTGCATAAATTTTGAAAAGCATCAAATGGTGACATACACAAAAGTAAAAAGGAATGTGGAGTAAGAAAATGTAGGTAAAATAACCAGCAAAAGACTAGAAAGTGAGTAGAAAAATGGAGAACATCTCCTAGATTCACGATGAAGTTCTCAGGATCCAAGTGCAGCTTGTCACAGTGCAACTCACTCAGCTGAGCAAAGGTGTCCTTGAGGTTGTCAAGATGATGCACGCCCTCACCAAAGGAGTGTAGCACCTTCTTACCATGGGCCTTCACCCTGGGGTTGCCTGTAACAGCAGCAGAAGTGGTCAGATGCCCAAAGGAGTCAAAGAACCTCTGAGTCCATGGATAGACAATCAGCAGCCTAAGAGGTGAGAACAGCACAAGAGACAGAGGGAGTCAGTGCCTGTAAGAAACCCAGGGGACTGCTTTATCTCTACATGCCCAGCTTCTACTACTCTCCATAAGTTGCTTATAACCTGGATACCACCCTGCCCAGGGCTTCACCACCAATTTCTTCCTCGTTCACCTTGCCCCACAGGGCCAGGATGGCTGTCTTCTCCTCACCACTCAGTTGCACCATGGTGTCTGGTTTTGTGGTTGCTGGAGAACATGGTTGCATCAGAAGCAAATGTAGGCAGTCACTGACGCTGTTGTTCCTTTTATGCCCACCCCTGGCTTCTGTCCTCCCTTCTCTGGGGAGTATATTATCCAAGGAAATAACAGAAATTCATTGATTTGTGAGAATATAAGATACATCCTCTTTCCTTAGTTGCCTTCAGCTGGTCCTGAGATTGGCTGTTCTAGATCTCATGTGTCTTGACTCAGAAACTCTGCTTTCACTCTACTTGTCTCTTGATCTCATTTCCTTTAGGAGTTCCTTCTATAAATATGCTCCTACTCTCATTTATGCATAGATGTTTTAGTCTGATATAGTGGAATGTACCTTAGAGTTTAACTTATCCAATTCTTTCACTTTATAGTTAAGAAAACTAAGACCTAGAAAGCAGAAATTTTATCAAGTTGGTTTTATATGGAGCTTCTCTTTGCCTCTAAAGGTATTTATAAATGGTTGGAATAGATAAATATTTTCACATAGTTTTAACTTTCTTCTTCTTTGGGTAAATATTTCTGGTCATAAAATTCCTTTTCTCCCTTCCTTCATTGAAATAACTGTTCACTAAAAGAATGAAAAATAATTAGTATTGTCTCTTTATCAGCTACTAAAATAGTTTTGGGGAACATGGATTATAATGGGAATAATTCAACGAGAGATATAGAAAAATATCTGATACCTATAACATAATCGTTTAAAACTATGACGTGACTAAATAACGAATGAGGTGGAATTACAAGGAAGATTTACATTACTCAGCCAGATTAAGTCTGACAGGGTTTCTGGGAAAAAGCAAGAGCAGAAATTTCCACAGCTATGTCCTCTGGAAAAAAGTGAAGTTACATCCTGGAAAGAAGATTCAAAAGGAATTTCACTCTTTTCTCAATACAAAATAGTGCTAAAATGACATACACATGTAACCCACAAGCATAGCTAGAAGGAAGAAAGGAAGGAAAGGAGGGAGAGAGAGAGGGAGGAAGGGATTGACAGAAGGGGAGAGAATGGAATGGAAGGGAAGGAAGAGGGAAAAGAATATAAAGAAGAGGAGAGGAGAGATTGACAACTCCAAAATTTGACAAGGATATAGATCAGCAAAACTCTCATACTCTGCTGGTGAGAGTATAAAATAGCATAATTGCTTTGGCAAATATTTGTTGGTATCTACTAAAGCAGATTATATGAAAAACCTACGAGCTAGCAGTTATACTTCTGGATATAAAGAAAGGCATACTTGTGTGTGTGCAAAGATGCACAGAGGAATGCTTGAAACATCAATATGCATACGAATCACGAACTTGTAGCAACTTAACAGTTCCTCATTTAGTGGAATAGGTAAATTATGGTAAAGTAAAAGAATTAAATACAACAAAGTAAGGAAAAGAATAAATTACTGCTTTACATACAGCAATACAGATGAATTGTACAATGTAATGTTGTTTAAAAGCAACCAGAGACAATAATTCAAGCTACATGATTCATATATAGAAAGATGGACAGTGTGACTAAGATTCAGGTCACAAGGAGAGTGTTATATGTAGGAAGCTTATTATTCTTTAACCTGAGAGCCAAGAAAAACTATCAAAAAATTCAAGGAAGGTAGTGGCATGATTTAATTTGTATTTTTCAAAAATTATTCTGACTTCAGTGTATAAATGAACTTTAGAGCAGACATAAGAGAGACAAATAGAATGACATTGGAGTAGGGCAGCAGTAAAAACACCATATCTCTTTTCTGGCTTGAGCACTGGGTGATGTGTAGTCACTGAGATGGGGAACACAGGAAGAGGGCCAAGTTAGGAAAAGAACAGGAGTTTAGTGTTGGACATGTTGTATTTGATGCACTCTTGGGCAATCCAAAATGGGATATTAAGCAAAAATTTAGATACATGGATCAGGAACTCAGAAAGAATAGAATCAGGTCAAGAATACACAGTGTATCAGAGCACAGAGGAACAGATCCTAGTGCATTGCATAAACCACGACCTCGACCTTTTCAAGAATGACAGACAACACACTTTACAAATATCTCCTTGAAACCTTGAAACATTTGTGAGATAGGAATCATTATCCCATTTTACAAGGGAGAAAATTAATTGTGAAAAACATTAACTAAACTTTTCAAAGGGATGGGGCTGTAATTTGATCTTTATCTGTTAATCCCAAAGCCCTGGCCTTTTGCTTCTATCCCAGGGACTTAGGTACAAGAATTTGAAGTGATTACCACAAAAGTGGCTGTGCTCCTTGCCTGCTTCAAACAAGAGACCTGTAGGCCTGTTCTATTCTGTTGATAGATTTCCAACTTTTTACTCACCAGACAAGGAAGCTGGCTATCATCTGTGACTTCTCTACTCTCTGCTTCACTATGTTATAAGTCCTAAAGAATCTTTGTCTCAATGGTTCCTTGCTTAATTTATTCTTAGTTTCATTGCTCCTGACAAGTTCAGTTCTTTGCCCATCACTTCACTACAATCGTGGCAAACCTCCATGGCTATATCCAAGTTAGACCCTGTCTTGTCAGTTCTATAGCCACAATTTCCCTAAAATTCCCTGTTCATTATGTTCATTATGTCTCTCAAGAAATTCACTGGTTCTTTTTGTTGTAACAATATCTTGTTTTCCTGCTTTTTCTGGTCTCTTTAGAAGATTCTCTAGTTTTATACCACCCCACTGCTCTTAAAGGGCAAATTTCTCTTTTGTTCCTTTCACTTGGCATACTGATTCCTGAATTTGTCATTTTCCCACATAAACGGCACTTTATCTCCAAAGTCTTAATGTAATTAGAAATATGCTCCATGCCGCAGAGCTAGCCGGTGAAGTACAGATTCAAACCAAGGCAGTCAGTTTCTTTGCCTTAGGGAGGGCGCTTCCATTAATACCATTGAAGACGTGAGAGAAAAGTTTAGAGCATGACCTTGGACTGGGTCTCTGGGTCATCTTTATTGCATTATAGCTGATAAAAATATGTTTCTTATATTAAATAGAAGTGAACTATAACCCAAAAAAGAGCTCTATTCTGAGTTTATAGAAATAACAGCTTATCCAGGTCCCATACTCTGACTCCTACCATGCCCCTATTCAGTATCAATAGTCTTCTTGTATGTCTCAAGAGTACCTCCATTCCCTCCCTTTTTCTAGAGACATTGTCCACCTGAAGATCTACTCTCTCTTCCAAGGAGTAACTACTTTATGGAAGCCACTCTTATATTACAGAATCTTGCAAGAGTCTCTTCTCTACTCACCCCAAACTCCCAATCCCTGATACTCCTATTCCAATCTGAGTGCTTTCTTTTAGCTCAATCAATATAAAGGAAAAGACAGAGAAGACAAGGCTAGTTCTTATAGAACAAATTTTTTACTTTATTTGTATCATATAGAAGTTAAGTCTGGAGGCAAGGCACTGTCCCCCAGCCTTCAGGAGATGGACTCTTGGAACACTGGGCCCTCCAGTAGGCACCAAGAAAGTTGGACAGGCAACTCAGTGATACTTGTGGGCCAGAGCATTAGCCACACCCATGGTCAGCTTCTCCCAGGCAGCCTGCATCTGTGGGGTAAATTCATTGCTGAAGTGTATTGCCAAGACAATCGGTATCATGTTGCCTAGCAGCTGGGGAAAGAGTAGGGATAAAAAAGAAAACAGCACATGGTGAAAAGAAGGCCTCAAACTGACCTTGCAGCAAAAAGATATGACACTTATTTCCTTCCTAATAAGAGTTTGAACAACTTCAGGGTCATGCTCCCACAAAAGAGCTCCATTATGCCTTGTCATTGGTTTCTATATGACTCTCAGCCCTGTGCCTCCCATTGTGTTCTCCCCTTCTCTCATTTGTCCTGTCAACTCATGACCCCAGAACATTGCTATGTATTTCTTCTCTCCTTTGGAGACCCTTTTTCTTTTTTAAAAGTAGGATTATAGTACTACAAGGAGCCTTAATATATGTAGTCTAAGTACCCAGATGTTACATACATTCAAATTGTTTGGACAGTCGTATGACAAAGAATCCTGTGACGTGTACACAAGAACATTTAATCACTGCTAAGGGGCGGGGTTTGGGGGAGCCACAGGCATCCATTGAAAAAATTGCTCTTACTTTGCCCTGCTTAATTCTGGTTTTAAACTCAGGAACTGTGCAGAAATATATTCATTAATTCTTATGGAAAATTTCAATTTCCAAAGGCAAGGTGTCCTTCTCCCTGGCTCAATTTGTATTCTCGAAGCCAAAAATATTTAGCTCAATTTCAGCTAATGCTCTTCACAACATGTATCCTTTTAGAAATATCTGAAAGCCAGTGGCCTGCACTGGTCAAAGTAATGACTCTACATGGGCTTACCTACCGTGATCTTTGGAACAACCTAAATAGCCAAATCAAGTCCTTCTCTAAAATGTTACCTCCCCAAAATACCTGTATAGGACAAGACTTAAGTGTCTATGTCTCCAAAGATATCCAAAGCAAAAGTATCTATAATGAAAGAACAAAGCACAAGCTGGCCCAGAACTTACCCTGAAGTTCTCAGGATCCACATGAAGCTTGTCACAGTGCAGCTCACTCAGCTGAGCAAAGGTGCCCTTGAGGTCATCCATGTGCTTAATAGCATTTCCAAAGGAGATCAGCACTTTCCTGCCATGAGCCTTGACCCTGGGGTTGCCCATTATTGCAGAATCAGAGGATAAGTTGCCAAAATTGTCAAAGAACCTCTGGGTCCAAGGGTAGACAATTAGGAGCCTATGAGATAATCATAGTCACAGACCAGACAGGAAGTCAGCATATGTAAGAAACCTGACCAATCCCTCTTTCAGGAACACTTTTTTCCCCCTGCCCAGGCCTCCAGTGCCTACCTTCCCAGGATCTCGCCTCCGGCTGCCTCCACATCCACTTTGGCCCACAAGCTAGCAATAGCAGTCTTCTCCTCTGCAGTAAAATGCACCATGGTGTCTGGGAGCTTTCTGGTGATCACAGATGAGCCAGAAACAAGTCTGTGCTGCCTCTTCTTTCTGTGCTCTTTTATTCCTCTTCTCTGGCCAGAAAGTCCTCTCTTCTCCAAATGAAATAAGACTATTGGTCAAGGTTGGGTTGTCACCAGCAGGGGTGGGGTCTTGACAAGGGAGGGTCAGCAAGATGGACATTTGTGTCTCTGATAGGAATGGATATCTTTATCAGGGGGATTCTGCTGTCCTCTCCCTTACCATCTATTATGCAATTCGTCTCTCAACCTCCCCACCACAGCTACCCGTGAAGTGACCTGTACGTTGACCATGAGACATAACTAGAATTAGAAGAGGTAAGAATTATAAATCTATTGGGCATTGTGTCAGGTGCTTACACGACATCATTTTGTTGTTCACCTGGGTATAGAAGAAGCCACAGCTCTTCTTTGCTACCAATTTTTCTAAAGTTCAGATTGGGCTCATGATTTTATAGTTCTTGTAAATGGAAAAAAAGACCTCAATCTAGCATCAGTTTGGAAACAATATAGGTAAGAAATGAGTAATTTAGAGAAGAATTGAGCATTGCTTCATTATTGTTGGGTTCTGTTGATAATACATGCACATGTCTAATCAAATTATTTTCATTCTGACTATATGGACAAGAGTCTCTGGCCAATATCAAGTATCTACTCATTTGTGTCAAAGAATACACAATTAAGTATTGGGGAAAATAGCCATTCTTGGGTTCAATGAAGAGTATGCTGGAAGCACACTCCTTGCTATGTTCAATTTTTCCTCAGGTCTAATCAGACAATCTTCACTAACAGTATTCCACACACTATTGCTGCTGTGACCTAAGTCACTTTAGTCTCAGGCATTTCAAACAAGCATGTACAGGACTAGACAGCACACACTTCCAATGGGAGAGGGAATGGTTTCTTTTATATTTTTCTCTCAGAGTGTATTGTTCCTGCATTTTGAGCTCCAGGAAGCTGTTTTCTTTCTTTCTCCCAGATATCCATTTTCAAAACAAAGGTATATATAGAGTTTAACAAATAATCCCCATGTATATTTACAGAGGAACTCTAAAATTTAAAGAGTTCAATCCAATATTATAGAGCTGAATTTCTGTTATTAGAAAAGAAATCCTTTCTGTCCATTTGATATAATGAGAGAATTTTATGTATTCAGCTTGGAAAAGACTTAAATGTAAGACTCAGATAAGAATTGTGAATCTGCTGGAAGCTAGTTTATCATGACAGACTCAATTATCTGTGAACTCTCAGTCCCAAACTTGGTTGATGTGAGCACTTTGGTACAGAAATATAAAGACAAGAGTTTGAATCAGTCCCAAAAGGATTTGCTTCAAGAGAAGAGGTCAACGAAATAAAAGAAAGGAGAGGAAACTGAGCACAGATAGGAATCCCAGTTACACTCAGTTGTGGTGCTGGCCTGAGGGGATGGCTCAGGGCTCATGCTCTCCAATGGCCCTAATGCACACATTCAACAGGGTGTGAGCACACTGCAATCTCTCTGACTCAGGGACATTTGCAACTCTGAATGTTGGTGAATAGCCCCCCATCTTTCCAGCAAACCAGAGAGTGATTCTGGCAGCTACCTCTAATGCCGGCTTTTCTCTCACCCTCTGTAGACAATCATTTCCCAAGACTTTTTGATTCTTTCTTGCTCATGGCTGTTCCACACTTCCAATTTATTTCCATGCACACTCCTCCCACTGGCATCTGGATGATTATCACATCAATGCTAGATCATCATAACAGATATCTAACAGTTTTCCATTAATTCATCACATATTGAAAAGATATGTTTATTGAGGCCACTCATGCCATGCATTGTTTTAAACGCTGGGCATCTTGGATGAACAAAACAGCCTATCTAGTCTCATGATACTCACATTCTGGTGGAAAAAGGAGACCAACACCAATAATTAAAAAATTAATGAATAAGAATTTCAGATGGTGTCATATGACAGGAAGAAAATGCATCTGATGATATGGTAGCAAGTGACTACAGAAAAATAATATAAAGAGAGATATCCTGAAGAAAGTTACATTTGAAGTGGGACCTTAATAACAAGATGGAGCCAGGCATAAGTAGTTTGTAGAAACAAGTTCCTAGAAGTAGGAAAGACTAGTGCAAAACTCTGACTCTGCAGAGAAAGGAAAAAGAGACAAAAAATAAACTTGGAATTTCGTTTAGAGAAAGGCATTACAAGGTTGGAGAAAATATGTTAAGAGAATAGGAGGAAGCAGAGTTGGAGAGATGGGCCCAGTTCTTATTTGGGTACATGAGAGTAGAGTGAGTGTTTTATTCTAAGGCATGAGAAACCAGCAGGGATTTGTACACCTCACATTAGCATGATCGCTAATCTGCTCAGCACCACAGCCAGGCTAATCTTCCTTACTTTCCTTTCCATCACATTACACTCTTGCCTATAAACCAGTATGAACTTCCAGTCATACAGAAACTCTTATGATCTCTTCTCCCCAGCTACTCAATGCAATTTCTTTCCTTCTCCTTTTGATCTCACAGTGCTACTCCGTTGCTCTGGGCTGGCTTCTGAGCCTCTTCTGGTTCAGTTTACAATGATCTCTCTTCCTTGAAATGCCGTAGCTAATCTGCACACTTAGGCATTGTCTCTCTCGACTGTGTGCAATTATTTAAACATTCCTAGGCAGCTCTCATTGTTTAAACCATAAAGCTCTTTAATAAAGTCCAGAATCAGTTCTTCAGAGCTGACTTTGAAAGGAGCTATCCCTTGCTCTGACCTCCAAACCCTCCTGTTCTTAATCTATCCTCACAAGGGCTTGTGACAAACCAGCTGCTTTTAGAAGATGTATTCTTATAAGTAGAATGGAATTACAATCCCTACCTGGACCTTACTTCTTAAGATATGGGTTGATTTCCCTCTGTAGAATCCCTATATTGGTACTCTACCTCCATCCGAATCCTTTGCCTTCACTGAAGCCTTCACTCAGGCCCACATAATTTTCTGTTTCTGAGGAGTTCATGTCCCATGACACCTTCTGTCTCCCACCAGAACTCTCCCATGTCTTTGAATTTAACTTGAAGAACTCTCAAGTATATGTTCATCTAAAGTGAATGCCCCAGTTGTATATTCCTTTTATTGCACTGTTGTTTTATTTTCTTGTCAAAATCTGTACTTCATACAAAAATTGAATTAGAAGCTCACACACACGCAGTCCAACATAAAATCCCTGGGGTTCTCACGTACTTAATAGCACATGAGAAAAGTAGAACTGAAGACAATTATAGAATTCTTAACAGAACATTATTATTATTATTACTATTGATATTATTATTAACTGAAAAATAAATCTGTTCCTGGTGACTCTACACTGTGAGCAAGGGCTTCAGTGATACTTGTGGGCCAGGATATTAGCCAATCCAGTCACCATCTTCTGCCAGGCAGTCTAACCTGGTGAGTGAATTTCGTCTCAAAATGATTTGTCAAGACAATCATTAATATATTTTTCAGAAGCTGTAGAGATTGAAACAGATAATAGATTTGTACAATGAGCAGAGAGCTCCAGACTGGCCTCCAGGTGTCTGGCCACCCAACTCCTATTTAGAATCAAGCTGAGGTCAACTTTCCTCAAAGTCTGGAGTCTTGTCTAGTCACTAAACACCACTAATTTGTTCCCCTTGCTGGAGTAATGCTTAGTCATGATTTCACTCTTTCTATTTTCTTCCTACCACCAACACCATATTTTATGTCCCGAAAAACAAAACCTCATAGCTTTCTTTCCGTATCCCTTCCAGGCCACATAGTCTAGCTGTTTCTCTTCCTCAGAGACACTTTTCCCCACTTCTGGATTTTTAGGAGGTAAGTTTGAAATAGGTCACTAGAAGCAAGTTTGTAGAAATTCCCAGCCAATATATAAACAACCTTAGCAATATATTTTGAACTCTAGGTCCCTTCTTTATACAGAGCCAACATATGCCTGCAAAGATATATCTCCTTCACCATCTTTTCTATGCCTCCAGGAAGGAAAAAGTGAAAAATAAAAAGTAAAGGCAAACTTTCTTTCATACAATGACAATTACCACGAGACATTTTTCCTCACTTCTGTATAAGTCTCTTCTGAAAGCCAATAGAGTGCAAACAAGTTTCTCTAGCTCTAGACTTCTAGAAGCACTCCTTAGGCCCTAATACATTACCACTTGATCTTAGTTCAGTGCTCTAGAGTTGCTTTCCTCCCAACTCAAGTGTTTTCAAATACTTCACCTCCCACAGCTGTCTTTGGTTATAGTCAGATCAGTGCTCAGTTGTCTAAGTTGTCCTAATGCTAAAAGTAAGAGGGGATGAGCGTCTTCTGGCTTCACCCTGAAGTTCTCAAGATCTACTTGCAGCATATCAAAGTGCAGCTCCCTCAGTTGGACAAAGGTGCCGTTGAGATCATCCAGGTTCCTTACAGCTTTTCCTAAGAAAGTCAACATCTTCTTGCCATGAAACTTCACTGGGAGTTTCTCATGATAGCAGAGGCAAAGGAATGTTACTAAAGTTGTCAAAGAACCGCTGTATCCTGGAATAGAGACCATGCGATGGGATTATAGCAGATATGAAGTTAGAGCTCATCACAGGACTTGAGAACTGACCTGGACTTCTGCCGGGGTCATCTTCTTTCCCTTCTTCCTCTGTCCTGGCCCCAAGAACCTATCTGCTCAGGGCCTAGTCTCCAACCTCTCCCATATTCTCTTTGCCCCACAGGCTTGTGATTATATCCTTCTCTTCAGCTTTAATGTGAACTATGGTGTCTGCTCTGGGAGCTTGCTGGTAATCACAGATGTGTCAAAAATAGGTATTTCCTGCAGCTGGAGTGTGTGGTCTTTTTTTCGTTATCACTGAGTCACTGACCCCTTGCTTTGCCTGATTTTGTGAGGCTATTGATCAAGGCTGGACTCTGAATACTGTTGTGGTATTTAGACAGAGAACTGTTACTATGGTAATTTGCATCTGTGATAGCGTCTTGGAGACCCCTTGATGAATATGTGTTTTTATACCATT